CAGAAACGACAGAACAAATAATGCAACAAATATTGTGGTTAAATTCAAATATACTAATTGACAAAAAACCTTTATTTTTTGACAGAATGTTTAAAAAAGGTATAATCTTCGTAAATGATATCATCGGTAGGACTGGTGGAGTTATGTCGCACATGCAGCTGACAAAAACATATGGAAATGTCTGCTCTACCCAAAATTACAACCAAATAATTGCAGCCTTACCGCAAAAGTGGAAGAGGAAAGTGGAAGGGGGAGAAAGTAAGGAACTTGTCTGTCGGCCTTGCATTAAAGAACATAATTGGTTAAGGAAAACTGTGATAAATAAAAAAGTATATCAGTTTCACTTAAGGACCAAAGGATTGACAGCCGTCCCATAGATTGCAAAATAGTTGGGAAGAGATCTTTGACGTACCGATCCCATGGCATAGTGTTTATGAACTGACACGCAAAACGACACCGGATTCAAAAATCTGAATCTTTCAATTTAAATTATTATATAAAATTCTTGCTACCAATAGAATGTTATTTATATGGGGGATTACAATCTTTCCAGCTCTGCAGATTTTGCTGTGAAGAGACAGAATCATTAGATCATTTGTTTTGGTTCTGTCCATTTGTAGCTTGTTTTTGGACACAGGTCCAGGAATGGCTAAAGGATTGCAATATTTACCTGGAACTAACCTTGCAGATAGCATTACTGGGTGATCTGAAAAGTCATAGTCAATCAATCAATAATATAATAATACTTTTAGCAAAAATGTTTATTTTTAATTCACAATCTGTAGAAGCAATGAGAATAGAAAGGTTCAGAACTTTTGTAAAACATCACAGTACGGTTGAAATATATATGGCAAATAGAAATCCTATATGGATGGTGTTAAGAGATAGATGGGAGGTATTGAATAGAGTTGAAGGATGGGACTAATAACAAATAACAACAAATAATAACAAAGATAGCTAATAATGTAAGCATACTGTGTCCATAATAAGTATATAGGTTGTATGTTGGGAGCTTTTGGGAAAGAGCACAGTTAGAAAGATATGGCATATAGAAGCAAACCGGATGGACATCATGAAAATGATCGGAAAGGTTGAGAGTAGAAGAAGTTCAGGAGCAATAAAAAAAAAAAAAAAAAAAAAAAATATATATAATTATTGTAAAATTAACTCTGTCCATAAGGTGTAGATAGTAAGTATAGACCGGAAGTAGAGACCTGGGCATTGTTGTTCACTAATTTACTCCAAGTAGGGAAAGGATGGTGGGGTTGAAAAGTAATAAAGGGGAGTATATATATAAAAAACAAAAAAACAAAAAAAACATGGGGGATTGGAAGTGATGCAGACAATTACATTGATAGAAGATACAATCTATCTGCAATATTAAGCTGATCCATTCCCCCCGAAAAAATAATAATATATATATATATAAAAAATATATATAAAAAAATATAGATATATATATATTAAGTTCTGCTTTTCTGATGTATCAAATACTTATGTCATGCAATAAAATGCAAATTAATTACTTAAAAATCATACAATGTGATTTTCTGGATTTTTGTTTTAGATTCCGTCTCTCACAGTTGAAGTGTACCTATGATAAAAATTACAGACCTCTGCTTTGTAAGTAGGAAAACCTGCAAAATCGGCAGTGTATCAAATACTTGTTCTCCCCACTGTAGATAGGCTGTTATTTTCTAGCTCGCTGACATCACAGCTAACCTTTTAACAGCCATCGGGACAAATCATTGTGCTGTAGTAGAGAACTATATTGAACAACATATGTGGCCGAATTTACAGTTACAATACTGAAGGCCTGGTTGCTCCAGCTCTGCACTGAATGTTATTCAAACAGGGTTGTTTTCCTACTAGCCGGATTAGGTACCCTGTATTCATAGGCCTTGCAGCTTTATGTGTTTGTAGCTTTTGTCTGGATTCTGGAATGAATCAATTCTTTACTGGCGAATGAGAACAGGGCTGGTTGAGCAAGGCAATAAATAGGTCACTGTGGTCTGGGTGGAACGCCAATACAAAATGTATTGCAAGGTTAGTAGGCCTAATGCTACAAACATTCATCACTGCAAACAGAGAGAACTACAGACATGGTGATAGATTGTAGTGATGACGAGGCTAGTTATTGGGAATTTCTCTTTTTTAAAGTTTGCCATAACACTTTCACATTTCTTGAAGTGAGTCTTGTCGAAGGTCTGTCCTCTTATGATTATCAAAGTCAGTCAATGATCTACTTGTCTTGGGATGTGAGGTTAATGTACAACAACTCCCTGGGAGACTCTTAGACAATTGTAACCATCGTGACAACAATAGCTGTGTCACATTATGGATGTTTTTTGTGACATTGCGTTGGAAAATGTATCAATTGAAATTCAATCAAACGCAGCTACTACAATATACTACTGTATATTTGAAAGTAAATACATTGCCTTTCTATTTTAACCTAGGTCTGGTTTTCGCACATGCACATTTCGGAATCAGAATGTCAGAAACCCCACAAACCACAACATGGGCTGATAACAGTAGTGTTACATTAATTCCTGTTCTCCTACCTCTCTGTCCTCTACCACTTCAGAGTAAAGGAAAGAGGAAGTAACAGGCCTAGTGTATTTACATGTAACCCCACGCAGCCTCTTTAACGCCATCCGTTCTTAAATTATGTATAGATCTCATCTGTGAAAGCTGGGGGCTTTGCCCGAGCCTTTGGTCAGGTGATAGATATTGACATAATGGTTACCTCACAGTGAGATGAGGGTGTGTCACTATCACGCCATATGTTTCCTGCCTGGAGGGAGGATGTGGAGGGTGGGGCTGATAGAGCTCATGACAGGACCTCTAGGCTTCGTCTGGAGGATGTTTGCTCAGATATGGTCTAATATCACATGTTGTCATATGATAGATATCACAGGTGCTCCCGGGCGAATTTTGTTAAACACGAAAAGTCAGTATAAGATTACTATTATGAGGAGCATTGTTACAATGCATACTATACAGTCTTTTTCATGCTAAGGTTATTAGCAAGTGTCCATAGAGGCACTGTCAGAGACATAGCCTAGGCCTGTTTCCTAAGCCCTTGGGAACCACCCTAACTAACATCCCTAAAGTACTCTCTAAAACAGGCTCACGTGGGACACTGCCCTGTTGATCTGTTTTACCACAGCTGTCAGCTTAGCACAACTAGACTGGGGCTGACACACACTCTGCCATTTAACAGCTATGCAAGGCAGTTCAACAAGTGTAGTAATGTTTCCCCTACCATGACTCAAGCAAAATAATATGAAAACTCCATTCAGATGGATAATTATTTTTGAAATATATGTTATGCTGCCACAATAAAGCCTGGCATCAAATAGATTTATAATAACCCACCAAATAACTGTCTTGTGGTATTATATCTCAACTCTTTACCAGTCAACCAAAACCACAGAACCCAGAATTAATCTGCAGGCCAGGCAGTCACAGTGATGCAGCCATTTGAGATGATGTTCAACAGCTGCATGTACCACTCTGGCTTGTATTCTGGCTTGTCCTGGGCTGACTCAGTATTGTGTTAGTAAGGGCTTACTCTGTGCTTTCTGATACCTTTCCTCTCTGTGAGAACTAGCCTAACACGCACACATTCAACCCTGATGTGTGTGGATTAAACAGCTTTACTGGAGATTGCTTTTTTATCTGGTGCCTGGTAAGTGATTATAGTCACTCACTGATGATGGATGGATGGATGGATGGATGGATGGATGGATGGATGGATGGATGGGTGGATGGATGGATAGATAGATGGATGGATGGATGGATGGGTGGATGGATAGATGGATGGATGGATGGATGGATGGATGGGTGGATGGATAGATGGATGGATGGATGGATGGGTGGATGGATAGATGGGTGGACACTTGTTTCCTCTTTTCCTTTTCTCCCCCACCTCATCCTCTCTCACTGCCTCTGTGTCAAATACCTTCTGAAGATTTCTGTATTAAAGCCCGTCCTGTAGTTGGCCAAATCTCAAGCAGCCACGTTAGCTGTCTCTGCTGCTGCCTGTGTGTGTGTGTTTGTGTGTGTGTGTGTGTGGACGTGTTTAACTATAAATGTGGGGACCAGAAGTCCCCACAAGAATATTAAGCAAACATACATTTTACCAACTGGGGACATTTTATTAGTCCCCACAAGGTCAAATGCTATTTCTAGGGGGTTTAGGGTTAAGGTTAGAATTAGTGTTAGAATTAGGTTTAGGGTTAGGAGCTAGGGTTAGGTTTAGGGTTGTCTGGCTCTGTGCTGAGGGCATTCTGGGAACACTGCCTGAGCGGCCACAGCAAACACATTCCTGCACCAGGCAGCCCTGGACTGGAGGAAAGGCTGGTGCTGGCCACAGCCTTCTCTGCTCTGCTCTGCTCTGCTCTGCTTTTGTATGCTTGCCCAAAGTGAGTGGTTTTGAAGCAGAGAGACAATGAAGTGTTTACAGGAAAAATGTTTGACATAAGCTATATGTTGTAATCCCTGTTCAGGAGGCATGCAGGACTATAACTACCTGAAGCCCACTTCCTGTTCCTGCCAGACCAGGCCAGACAGGCACTCTCCTATGTGGGCTATGTTCCAATAGCCATTCTAGCATTCCACTTAGAATGCCCAATACATTGATTCATTCACATAGTATGTTAGTAAAGATATTGAAACAGAGGCCCGATATTGGAACAGAAGCCCGGGTTCTGGCCTCAGACCATGTCTCTGGCTCTTGTGAGTGACACTGACAATATTACATTCAACAGATACAAGTAGCTATCCTTGATAGCCTCTACCAGCATTATTGAAAGCATTACATGACAAAATGAATTAAAGATGTAGGACATCATGGAAAGCAAACACAGTATTATAAAGATTTCCTACTTTCCATCATAATTCTACACAGTATATTTATGGTAAATAGTGCTGAAACAGGTTGAATGTGACCTGAAATTGCCCACTCCTCTGTCTGAACTGCACAGAACCATTAGGAGTCCAAGATTGTGGTGTTTGAAAGGGAGAACTTCATTGGCAAGCAATGGGAGATGAACGATGACTACCCCTCCCTGCAGGCCATGGGCTGGGGCAACAACGAGATCAGATCCATGCAGGTCCAGAGTGGAGCGTAAGTAAAAGGAGTAAAAGTCCTGACTTCCTTTTTCACACTACAGAAGACTATGCTCATAACAATCAGAAATAGAGGAATCAATTGTGTCTAGTCCAAAACTTGGACAAACTGCAAAAAAGTTCAATATGCAGTAAGAATAGCACAGAATAGTTGTAACAGAAAATATAACACAAGCCACAAAAAAGTATGTATAAAGTCTATGAAAAGTATATAAAGCCTTTCGGTCCTTTCCCCTTCAACAGTGTTCTGGCCGGGTGGTGAGTCTGACCTACATAAAGTCTTTATGGGCTGTAATTAAAATCCATTGTAATAACAACATAATTAAAATCCATTGTAATAATCATTTCTGTAATGGATCATAATAGAACTAAGCAAAACCCAATTTCAGGACTGAAATTATTAATTATCTAAATGAATGTCCTGTGACCTTACTGACCTATCTTTGCCAAATGTGTTAAAGGGACACTATGGTGAAAAATGAGAAACAATGAGCTATTATATGGTGTCCCTGGATATTATACAGAGGACTAACTGTTACAGGAGGGGGTCGCAGTTCTGGAGCGACCCACTAGGTGTCATCGTCCGACAACCTTAGGCACCTCCTCACTCACAGTCGGGACTAATCATCATCCTATTGGTGTCACCTGTGTCTATCGGTTCACCTGTGTATTTATGCCCTCACTTCCCTGTGTTCCCTTGCTCAGTTTTCTCTGCTAGTTTCTCTATGTCCAGCAGTACTACTCAGTGTCTGATCGGAGATCTATGTACAGGTAGACCACAGTGTGGTCCTCTGTAGCTCAGCTGGTAGAGCACGGCGCTTGTAACGCCAAGGTAGTGGGTTCGATCCCCGGGACCACCCATACACAAAAATGTATGCACGCATGACTGTAAGTCGCTTTGGATAAAAGCGTCTGCTAAATGGCATATTATTATTATTATTATATACAGGTACTTGAGAAGTGTTCTCCCTGTTTCGTTATTTGTTTCAGTCTTAGGTAGTATTTCGTATTTTGGCTGTCAGCCGGTTTTTAGAGACTTATTTGCTCCGCCTTTCTTTTATCGTGATAAGTCCGTTATTTTGTATTTTGGCTTCGGGACCACCAGTAAAGATCCTTGTTTCACCATCTCTGCCTACTGCCTACTGTATATCCTGCACCGCACCTGGGTCACACCTCACCCCAACCCTTACACTAACATGTACTGTAGAGGCCAACTCTGTCTGATCTACAAATGCCTAGACTAAGGGCTGGGGCTTGTTTCGGGATATTTTCTTCCTCTCTCTCCCTCTCCCTTTTAGCTGGGTGTGCTACCAGTTCCCCGGTTACCACGGCTACCAGTACATCATGGAGTGTGACTGTCATGGCGGAGAGTACAAACACTACAGGGAGTGGGGCTCCCATGCTCAGACCTTCCAGGTCCAGTCTCTGCGCCGCATCCAGCAGTGAGAGCTTCCACAGCCTCCTCCCTCTTTCACCCCTCCTCCTCTTCGTCTTCTCCCCTCTCTTCCTCCTCTTATCCCTCCTCCACCCTATCATTCCAAGCTTGGCCAGTAGTCCTGTCAGACCTCCAAGACCAACGGCTCCTGACGCTTCTGGTGCTCCACAGCGACAAACATGTTTACAGCACTTTTGTTTTGATCCATCGCCGAAAGAAGAAAAACGAGAGAACGAGAGAAGAAGAAAGAAAATAAAAGTGATGGATACGCCCCACAGCGAGCGGAGAGAAGGTTCCCAGGTGGTGTGGTGGTACGACCCAGGCTTTGATGCTATTCTTCATTGTTGTCACAGGGATTTCACAGCCACAGTGATCAATTAAGAGAGAATTAGCAACAAAAATAAACAGCGATACAAGAGTGCTATTAACCTGCTGAACAAATAAATGAACAAAACATTTACATCCTAGGTTATAAAAAAATATAGGAAATGTAAGTGTCTACTAAGTGGACCTTCATACCAAAAGCAAACTATATTACACCCTTATTACACCCTATAGCACACAATTACAAACCCCAGAAATCTAAACTATTTTAGCCATAATGTAAAAGAAAATACAAAGCTTCAATCATGAAGTAAAATGTTTCAATTTAACCCAGCTCTATTGAGATGTCATGAAGTGTTTATCCAACTCTCAGGCAACACTAAAATCCCCAGTCTGTCTCAATTCAGTACCATTCAGTACCATTCTCCATCTGAAATATTGAGCATAGGACAAATTGTGCTTAAATGCATGGTATCTGTCAGGCTCATCCAATGCAATTTGGTAGCTAATAGCCTAGACTGTATGAGGAATATGATTGGGAAATTGAGACAATGGAACTATAGAGAAAAAAATGGCAATTGCACTTTTTTTGGGGGGGGGGGTATTACAATACTGACTAATATTGACAGATATCAATGTATAGAACTAAAATACACTATAGTACTGTACTGTAGTCTCAAATTATATATTCTGCAAACCACCTTAAAGAGAGGCTCCTCCTCAAGGAGAGTGACATCAAACCAAAGCCCCGCCCCTATGAAAGCTTCATGGGAAGTTGGATGCATAAAGGCGGGCTGTCCGGAGAGACAAGAGGCTAGGTTAAGTAGATAACAATGTTCTCATCGTTTACCTTTTTATTTCACAAGAGTGGATATTCAAGAGGTAGGAGAGTCGGAAACATGGCAACATATTTGCTGGAGCATCGACATACAGCGCCGAAACTATGCGTCTCACTTTTCGTCTTACTGCTTTTTGTTGTTGGCTCCATCACGGCTCTCAGCGTCGGCGAGGCGCGGCTTGTCAGAAGCAACACCGCCGCGAAAGAGGAGGTAGAAGACTATACAAAATACTACAATTATGTGGAAATGACCCGGCTACTGAAGTTCATGGCCATGAAATACCCTCACATCGCCAACCTGTCCAGTATAGGCCAGTCCGTGCAGGGCAGGGAGTTGTGGGTTATGCGAATCACAAAGGACCCCAACGCTGACGTACCGGGAAAACCCAAATGTAAATACGTGGGGAACATGCACGGGGACGAAACTATCTCGAGGCAGGTATTGGTGTACCTTGTGGACTACTTACTGACGAGGTATGGAGAGGACCCACGTATCACGGAGTTGGTGACGAGCACGGATATTTACATTATGCCCAGTATGAACCCAGACGGGTTCGAGAGGTCAAGAGAGGGGGACTGCAGTGGCGACGCAGGGGGTCGTTCCAACGCCAGGAACATGGACCTCAACAGAAGTTTTCCTGACCAGTTTGACGAAATCAACGTCCAGCAAGAGGATATTCCCGAGGTTACAGCTGTCATTAAATGGATCCTGGAGAAAAAGTACGTCTTTCTTTCTCTGGTCTATTTACATAGACCTACATACACCATGATTTGTGTTTGTTTATTACATTGTTTATAACCTAATTCAGATGGTGAGATGGGGCTCAAATGTATGGGCTACACCAGGGGTAGGCAACCCTTTTCCTGGAGTGGAGCAGGTACTGCAGAATTTGGTTCTGATAAAGACATTGCACCTGACCAACTGAGATAATTGATCACTTCACTAATTGCCTAAATTCAACACACCACACCTGTTCTTCCAGGTCAGTTAAATAAAAAATATGAAGTGACTGCGGCACTCCAGGACCCTGGGCTACACAGACATCGCTTACTGCAAATGGTAACTGCTGCAACCAAGGGCTTTACTGGAAGCCTGCATCTGTCATTGTTCCCATTGTTCTGAAGCACCTCCTCATGGACCCCAAATACCACCTCCCTCCCCCCGAAGGATCTCTCCATTTACCTAAGGGCCCACTGTTGCCAGCTAACAGTTGGGAATGCCCTCGATCAACATCAGACTCCAAAAGGCCAACATAAGTAGCCTGCCATGCAACTTTAGGCTGGCCACCTTTGTCTAAAGACCTGTCAAAACAAACGCTATACCCCCTCTTCCAGCTGTCACTAAACAAACAGCTAATGATGTCCTGTTATTGCATATAGTTTATTTTATTAAAACACAGGGGTTGTCTTTATATGGAAAAAAAAACATGTTTTAAAATTTCGACCAATTGATTGGTCGATGACTTTCGGTCGACCAAGGTTTAGGTCGGGGACAGCCCTACCTGTTATTAACCTGTATTACAAATCAGCCCTTCAGCTATACAGTCAGAACTATGCTATCTTATGTGTTGGTAATATGTTTGGTACTACTGCAGGATATGTTACTGTTATAGTTCCCACCTGCTGTGTAGAACCTCCTGCATGGACAGGAAATCACTGTGTTATCTATGGGAACACAATAACCCACATCAAATCAAATTTTATTTGTCACATGCGCCGAATACAACAGGTGTAGACCTTACCGTGAAATGCTTACTTACAAGCCCTTAACCAACAATGCAGAGTAAAAAAAAAAAAGGAAGTAAGAACAATTTGTGAAAAATAGTAACACAATAAAATAACAATAAGGAGGCTATATACAAGGGGTACTGGTACTGAGTCAATGTGCAGGGGTACGGGGTAGTCAAGGGAATTTAGGTAATATGTACATGTAGGTATGGGTAAAGTGACTGCATAGATAATAAACAGAGCGTAGCAGCAACTAATGTGAAGAGTGTGAAGGAATGTGTGTTTGTGTGTGTTGGAGTGTCAGTGTGGTATATGTGAATGTGTGGTTAGAGTCCAGTGAGGAGTGTACATCGAGCCTGTGCAAGAGAGTCAGTGCAAAAATTAATAATAAATAAGGAGGTCAATGCAAATAGTCTGGGTAGCCATTTGATTAACTGTTCAGCAGTCTTAGAAGCTGTTAAGGAGCCTTTTGGTCCCAGACTTGGCACTCCGGTACCGCTTGCCATGCGGTAGCAGAGAGAACAGTCTATGACTTGGGTGACTGGAGACATTGCCAATTTTTAGGGCCTTCCTCTGACACCGCCTGGTATAGAGGTCCTGGATGGCAGGGAGCTCGGCTCCGGTGATGTACTGGGCCGTACGCACTACCCTCTGTAGCGCCATGCGGTCGGATGCCGAGCAGTTGCCATACCAAGCGGTGACGCAACCAGTCAGGATGTTCTCGATGGTGCAGCTGTATAAAATCTTTTCAGCCTCCTGAGGGGGAATAGGCGTTGTTGTGCCCTCCTCAAGACTTTGTTGGTGTGTTTGGACCTTGATAGGTCCTTAGTGATGTGGACACCAAGGAACTTGAAGCTCTCGACCCGCTCCTCTACAGCCCTGTCGATGTGAATGGGGGCGTGCTCGTGTGTGTACTTCAGCTCAGCCTCGGATAGTTAAAGGTTTCCCCCCTTCCCCTTGGCCTTGACAATAGGATGTAGGCTACAGACAGGCAGACAGTAGATACTAGGCCTACTATATATCCCCTGCCTCCTGATAACATTGTGTTGTTGTTGTTGTGTCCCTCCAGGTTTGTCCTGTCAGGGAACCTGCATGGTGGCACTGTGGTGGCCAGCTACCCCTTTGATGACTCGGCCTCCCACAAGATGCAGGGTTACTACAGCCGCTCTGTGGACGACAACCTGTTTAAACACCTGGCGCTGACCTACGCCAAGAACCACCCCGTCATGAGGACTGGGGAGCCCAAGTGCCCAGATACCCCCGACGAGACTTTCGAGGATGGCATCGTCAACGGGGCAAAGTGGTACGATGTACCCGGTAAGACTTTTTCTTCCTTAACTATCAGACCACTGATGATGCTCTTTGGGGAGCAAAGGTCATGTTCTTTTTCCTTCTTAGTTTGTTGAAAAAGAGGGTATGGTTCACACACAGCAGCTCCAGTATCTTCCTTTTGTGATTTCTAATGTATTTTCTTCTCTTCTTTGTAATTTGTTTCCTTGTCTTTCCATTTCTTGAAAAGCTTCTTCAGCTGCTTTTTTTGATAGTTTAACTCATTATCCCACCTCATCTCTCTCAGAAAAATCGCACATTATTGTTGAAACAGAGAGCGGAGTGCTGGGTTGCCATGACGATTAAGTCCATTGGGGTTTATTTTGAATTTTTCTCTCTTCCCAGAGACTGATGACATCATGTGGTAATTTTACTTCTCATGCGTTCATAATCAGCTGGATATCAGGTTTTACTCAGCTCAGTGTTGTATGAGTTCATGGAGAAACCTTGAAATTAATATTGAATGACATGTAGGCCTATAGTAAGGGAATAAAGGATATATGATAACATGTATAGTGTGGGCTTTCACTGCCATGGTACATGCCTACTTTTTGTCATTGGGACAAAGCCTTATGTGTGATGTCTAGGCTACGTGTTGCATTGAAAAGGGGTTAATTAATTAGTGTGATGGTTTCCTCTGTCTTTGCTACTATACATTTTCCATGGCCCAATCTTCACTGAATATCACCCCCCCTCCCCCCCACTCATTTTGGGTCTATTTGAGAACCAAACCAGCAGACCCACAGCTGTGATTGTCTGTCTGGTCTTAATTTAAAACCCCACTAATTAGGCTATTGAATCAGAGTACGGCTTTGAACATAAGAAGAATAATTATCACAGTGAATTATTGTAATGTTTGTTTGTGTCAATTAATGGCATAAGGGATGGTTTGCCAACTGGCGATTTGACACGAAAATACAATTTCCTTCATTCAAAATTTCATTCATTCATTACAGGTGTTCCATTGCACTGACTTCACTATCTAGCAGAGCAGCTGTGGCAGAGGACAACACACCCAGCTAGCTAGTATTGTATTATTCACCCCTGCAGCACAGACCTGCTCTCTGTTCTCTCCTCACAGAAAGCCTGACTGGTCTCAGGTTATCCTATCCGTCTTTTACGAGCTGTCTGTGTGTGTCTGTGTGTGTGAGAGACACGACCTGTCCATGCAGCTTGCTGTCCCCCCACTACCCCCCCCCCCCCCCCTTCATGTTCAGGAATACCAGCGTCCGTGTTCCACAGGCAGTAACCGGACCCCCAGTCTCTGTGTTGTGCTGTGTGGCTGCTGGCAGGTCGGGGGGTTGGAAAGAGAGCCAGACTAGGGGCAATGAGATGATACTGTAATCTGAGTCTGAAGGTTTCAGGTGACCGTCAAGGCTTTTCCTGTATAGATGTGTGCGGTCATCACCCTGTGCGTATTTGCAGTGAGACTGTTTATCATGTGTCTGTGAGTGTAATAGGGAGTGGTGAGTTCCAGGTGTATTCTCAACCATTCCTCAATAATCCCTGAATCTGCTCTAACAGACTGCCTCTGCTTCAGTTGTAAATTATGACTCGGCAGAAGACTAATTCTGGTTTCTTCATCATAACTCACCTGAATCTAAATTGACTGCCTCTGTGGTTAATGGAGACTGCAGGAGATAGATTTAATCTGATGCACAGATCTGTCTTCTATAAGCACTATCAAAGGAACAGCATACAGTGGGGAAAAAAAGTATTTAGTCAGCCACCAATTGTGCAAGTTCTCCCACTTAAAAAGATGAGAGAGGCCTGTAATTTTCATCATAGGTACACGTTAACTATGACAGACAAATTGAGAAAGAAAAATCCATAAAATCACATTGTAGGATTTTTAATGAATTTATTTGCAAATTATGGTGGAAAATAAGTATTTGGTCACCTACAAACAAGCAAGATTTCTGGCTCTCACAGACCTGTAACTTCTTCTTTAAGAGGCTCCTCTGTCCTCCACTCGTTACCTGTATTAATGGCACCTGTTTGAACTTGTTATCAGTATAAAAGTCACCTGTCCACAACCTCAAACAGTCACACTCCAAACTCCACTATGGCCAAGACCAAAGAGCTGTCAAAGGACACCAGAAACAAAATTGTAGACCTGCACCAGGCTGGGAAGACTGAATCTGCAATAGATAAGCAGCTTGGTTTGAAGAAATCAACTGTGGGAGCAATTATTAGGAAATGGAAGACATACAAGACCACTGATAATCTCCCTCGATCTGGGGCTCCACGCAAGATCTCACCCCGTGGGGTCAAAATTATCACAAGAACGGTGAGCAAAAATCCCAGAACCACACGGGTGGACCTAGTGAATGACCTGCAGAGAGCTGGGACCAAAGTAACAAAGCCTACCATCAGTAACGGACTACGCCGCCAGGGACTCAAATCCTGCAGTGCCAGACGTGTCCCCCTGCTTAAGCCAGTACATGTCCAGGCCCGTCTGAAGTTTGCTAGAGTGCATTTGGATGATCCAGAAGAGGATTGGGAGAATGTCATATGGTCAGATGAAACCAAAATAAAACTTTTTGGTAAAAACTCAACTCGTCGTGTTTGGAGGACAAAGAATGCTGAGTTGCATCCAAAGAACACCATACCTACTGTGAAGCATGGGGGTGGAAACATCATGCTTTGGGGCTGTTTTTCTGCAAAGGGACCAGGACGACTGATCCGTGTAAAGGAAATAATGAATGGGGCCATGTATCGTGAGATTTTGAGTGAAAACCTCCTTCCATCAGCAAGGGCATTGAAGATGAAACGTGGCTGGGTCTTTCAGCATGACAATGATCCCAAACACACCACCCGGGCAACGAAGGAGTGGCTTCGTAAGAAGCATTTCAAGGTCCTGGAGTGGCCTAGCCAGTCTCCAGATCTCAACCCCATAGAAAATCTTTGGAGGGAGTTGAAAGTCCGTGTTGCCCAGCGACAGCCCCAAAACATCACTGCTCTAGAGGAGATCTGCATGGAGGAATGGGCCAAAATACCAGCAACAGTGTGTGTGAACCTTGTGATGACTTACAGAAAACGTTTGACCTGTGTCATTAACAAAGTATTGAGAAACTTTTGTTATTGACCAAATACTTATTTTCCACCATAATTTGCAAATAAATTCATTAAAAATCCTACAATGTGATTTTCTGTATATTTTTTTCTCATTTTGTCTGTCATAGTTGACGTGTACCTATGATGAAAATTACAGGCCTCTCTCATCTTTTTAAGTGGGAGAACTTGCACAATTGGTGGCTGACTAAATACTTTTTTTCCCCACTGTAGGTGTCATTTAAAGGTGAAACTAGGAGGTGTAAAGATTAGGTGTCTTAACAAGTAATGAAATATGACTCCATTCTCTGATGAACTTTGAGAATAGACTTACACAATGCTCAATGAGGAAATGACAGGAGGGAAATGTACCCAACGATATCGTAAGATCTTATTAGAACATTAAGAATGTGAGTTTAGAATCTAGGTAATTGTCATTATGACCTTCCGAGAGGTGACTGTTGAGAAAGAATGATAGGGAGAGACAGCTAGGGAGAGGGAGGTAGAGAAATAGAGAGATAGGGAGAGAGGGAAAGTTTACGTACTTGGCAGTGTGGGTTGACTTGGATAATTGCAATAGATGACTGATAACCTTTTGACAAGCTTTTTTTGTAGACCCATTTTTGTATAGCTAGTTTACCTCTTTCCTCTATGCCAGGGGTGTCAAACTCATTCCATGGAGGGCCTCGTGCAGCGTTTACGAAACTCGGTCCTCGGGACCCCAAGTGGTGCACGTTTGGGTTTTTGCCCTAACACTACACAGCTGATTCAGATGATCAAAGCTTGATTATTGGTTGATTATTTGAATCAGCTGTGTAGTACTAGGGAAAAAACAAAAACGTGCACCCCTTTGGGTCCTAAAGACCGAGTTTGGGAAACCCTGGCGTAGTGTTTGCTGGTTTTTCCTTTCAACTCAATATTATTAGGAAGGTGTTCCTAATGTTTTGTACTCTGTGTAGACACCTGTTGCTAAGAGTTTGTACTGAATTTGCACTGCATGGCCACTAGCTTATTTGATATAAGCTCACAATTTGGCCAGCACTAAAAAAACTAACAATTACACAATTTAATTGTTATAACTGTTTATAAATTGGTAATAAACAATCTATAAACTCATAATTCATGAACAGTTTATAAACTACTTGGGCCTATAGGCTATTTATAGCCGAAATAATTTTAAGTAGCCTCGTCCTTTTACTCACTAGCAATACCCACTGCTCTGTTTCTGACTGGTCATATTATTTATTTGTATTTTTGTACCTTCATTTAACCAGGAAAAGCCCATTGAGACCCAGAGTCTCTCTTTCAAGGGAGACCTGGCCAAGAAGGCAGCAACAATCAATACATTACATAATTAAAACATACAACAATACAATACAACAACATGATCCAGCCTAAAAAAAGCATTTACACTCCTCTGTAACAGTCTCCCATCAAAATATTAAATTCATTCAGTGGCACTAACATATCTAGATGAAGCATGGGTTGTAGACTATTCCATGCCTCTGGTGCACAAGACGAGAAGGCAGTCTTGCCTAATACTGTAAATGTCCTGGGGACTTTAAGTAGCAACCACCTAGCAGACTGGGTATGGTAACTGCTGTGGTGAAGGAGACCAGACTACAGAGGTAAAGAGGGAGTTTACCCAAAAGGGCTTTGTTGATGAACACATTCAAATGTAGCTTTCTGCGCATATAAAGTGAGGTCCAACCCACCATTTGGTACAAGGTGCAATGGTGGGTGAGTGACTTGGTATTTGTAATAAAGCGCAAGGATGCATGATAAAGAGTCCAGTCTCTGTAAGACAGAGGAGGCTGCATGCATATACAACAAGTCACCATAATCAATTACAGAGAGAAAAGTGCCCTGAACACGCTTCTTTCTAGCCATAAGTGGGAAGCAAGCTTTATTATGAAAATAAAAATCCAATTTCAATTTAAGCTTCCTCACAAGATTATCCATATTAACTTTAAAGGACAACTTGTCATCCAACATTTTACATTTTTAGTCATTTAGCAGACGCTCTTATCCAGAGCGACTTACATGAGCAATTAGGGTTAAGTGCCTTGCTCAAGGGCACATCGACAGATTTTTCACCTAGTTGGCTCGGGGATTAGAACCAGTGACCTTTCGGTTACTGGCACAACGCTCTTAACCACTAAGCTACCTGTATTTGTAGGATTACACTTTTTCAATGGAAAAGCCACCAGATGTGACAATGCTAACCTTCTCTGGCTGAGTGCGAGCTCTGGTAAAGATAATTAATTTTGTTTTTTGTACATTCAAGACCAGTTTGAGACCATAAAGGGAGGTG